AGACCTGGAGATGTGCTACCATAAAGTTTACAACCTTGAAAATCCTGTGGGGAAGTTCCCATCTGCCCTGTAGTGTTACTGTGAGTCCAGACCAACTCAGTGACAGTGAGGTTTTTTGTTTTGTTTTTAATACATGCAGGACATGTGGGTGGTGAGGACAGAGTAGTGACTAGGGCAGCCCTGGCCCAATTTGTGGAATTTACATTGTGGTGTGAAAGGCATATGGTAAACAAGGAATCTCACAACCTATTTAATGATAAAATGGTAAGAGCCTAGAAGGAAAAGTATAAGGTGTCATAGTTTGGAAGTTTAGGAAAGGCTTTTTGAGGAAGTAACCTTTGAACTTCATTCTAAAAGGTGAATTAGCAACACCTTCTTTTGAATGACGAGAAAAGAAGAGAAGACCAAAATGGATGACAGAAGAGACTCTGAAACTTGCCCTTGAGCAGAGAGTAGCTAAAGCAAATGGAAGAAAATGACAAGATAAAACAGCTAAATCGAAGATTTCAAAGAGCAGCTCGAGAAGACAAAGCCAATTATTATAAAGAAATGTGCAAAGACCTGGAGTTAGGAAACCAAAAGGGAAGAACACACTTGGCATTTCTCAAACTGAAAGAAATGAAGAAAAAATTTGACTTGAGTTGCAATATTGAAAGATTCTATGGGCAAAATATTAAATGATGCAGGAAACATCAAAAGAAGATGGAAAGAATACACAGAGTCACTATACCAAAAAGAACTGGTTGATGTTCATCCATTTCAGGAGGTAGCATATAATGTAAAACCAGTGGTATTGAAGGAAGAAGTCAAAGCTGCAATGAAGGAATTAATTGGCAAAGAACAAGGCTCCAGGAATTAATGGAATACCCATTGAGATATTTCAACAAACAGATGTGCCACTGGAGGCACGCACTCGGTTATGCCAAGAGATGTGGAAGACAGCTACCTGGCCATGTTTGTACCCATTCCAGAGGAAGGTGATCCCACAGAATGTGGAAATTATTGAACAATATCATTAATATCACATGCAAGTAAGATCTTTACTGAAGATAATTCAAAAA